GAAAAATCTAGCCCTTTATCCATTCCAACAGCCTCCTCTGGTCCAATTTAATTTATAGACCATTATTCTCCATCTGTGTGAAATCATTATTAATTGCCTGCTAACTAGTTTGTCAACTCCTAATAATTCCTCTTATATTCAGCCTTTAGTTGTAAAATTGTATGTTAACCCCTGCTACCACTTGTCTCAGATTTAACAAAGTGAAAAAAGCTGCAACAGCAGACTATCCAATGTTAAGTTTGTAACTAGATAACAGTATGAAACAAGGATGTAAAGAGGACACAGTTTGTAAAAATCTTTAGGTAAATTGGAAGCCTGTGTAGGTTTCAACCATTTCCTTTCCCTATTCATAAAATATTGGGACTGAAAATAACCAGCATGTTAGGTCAAGAGAAATAGGAGATAAGGCTTGCGTCATTGGGGCAGGATAAGACTCACTCAGCTAAATGTAACAAAAGCCAGCATAGCACTAGTGTGAAAGTGGCCATAATCACACTACAGAATCGAGGGCAACAGCTATAGATCTCAGGCACTATGCGTAGCTAGGTGTTGGATAATTATAGCACTTCACTATACTGCTTAACTGCCTTCAATTTGTTAAAATACCCCAGGCCTCTTTGTTCGCTATCTGTTTGAAATGTATTACCATAAATCTGCATTTTTTTGCACATTTTGGCGGTACAGCTTTCACACTATTGCCAACCCATTTCCCCCCCAAAATTGTTAATTGTTTGGTGTATTCCACCTATGATGTCAATCTTGTTACAACGATGCGTTACTTTCATTGATGCTATTCCCTTGTGCTTTGTTTGAGCGAGTAAATGTTCCGGCTCTCTGCAGTAATTGGAAAAAGGGGCAGACGCTCATGCACTGTCTGTTGCAATATTGTGATATAGATGAATTACACCTTTCAAGCCCCTCAGACGTTGTCTTTTCTTCCCACATTTGCTATGCTACTAATGAATGTTATAGCGTATCATGGTGTTATCTTTGAATTTCTCTCCTTTTCGTTCCCTCTATTTCCCGCTCCCTCGCTCTCTCACTCTATGTATTTCTTGAAAATCAGTTTTTGGCTCATTTGCTACAACTGACATGCCGCTTGCTGCTAAAATGCCTATACTGTTTGCCAATCCACCCCTGTGAGGGATGTATGCTGAAGACGTTTGCCTCAAATTACAGTGGATGTTTACAATAGGTAATATTTTATTCTAGTAAATTCGACCTTCACAAAACATATCGGATACTTTCTAACAAAGGCTGGCATAGAGGGGAACATTATAATAACAGGGGTATCATCCATGTAATTATCAGACTATTTTTTTGATCCAAGACAAACTTCTCAAATCTGAAATTGAACATATACCTATATGGTACTTTAGATTTTGGTTTACTAATAGTATTTTTACATGGTTCTATATGTTTCTTCAGAATAATTCGATCTACATTCTGTCTCAGAGCCCCTTCTTAACTTCAAACCTAAACGTATTGTCCCCTGAATTGGCATAGTGTATGATTGCAGTTCAATTTATGTTTCGATGAGGCATTCAGCGCCAGTTTGAAGATAACATGATTTAAAAGGGAACACTATTCCAGGTTTGTAACAGGGGTTGACTATTGCAGTAGGGGCAGACCAAATGCAATTAACAATTTAGGAAAAATAGAGTAATAGCAGAGAGTGTGAAAAAGGCTCAGTTAAAAAGTGTAAAAAAATGCAGATTTATGTTAATGTATTGACAGGAGAGGCAGAAAAAGTGGGTATGGGATTATTTCAGCTGTCTGAATGGTAACCAGGCAATATTGCAGACTAGTGAAACATCCTGCACTCTGCTAGACTTGTGAAGGAGAGGTAGACTCAACAGAAATATAAAGATAGCAGTTAATACATCATTGGTAGCACAGTTCACGAACATTGTTTTTGAGTAAAGCTATTCATTGTAGCATTCTATGATCCATTCCAAGTGTCAGAACGTATACTTTATTCTGTCTGAAGCCTTTACACTTCTGCACTTTATTTTCAAATCTATTACACTATTTGTGCTATGCTCCACAGGAGCATGGTGGATCTCCCACTAAGTACAACAGCAGGATGTTATGTCTGTTAGCTAAAGGGGAGAGGATTTCAGTTTGATATTCACTAAATATAGATTTATGTCAAAATCACTCCTTCTAAAACTATTGACCTGAGAATTTACTAGCTAAACTAAAGTTCCCACTTTGGCATATTGGGTTATTTACCTTGTTTTTTCTTAGCTCTCCTCCCCCAGAGAGTTTATAGAGGAATCGTTGCACCATGCACATTCAAACTTTTTTTAAGCAAAGCATTGATTCAATGTGAGGATACCGCATCAGATGATCGGGTCTTAGTCATTAAGTGGGGTGCCTCTGACAGCCACTAGAAGTGGACTTAACCCTTCAATGTAAATATTGCATTTTTTTTTAAAAATTGCAGTGTTTTACATTGCAGGGTGAAGAGGACAGGGACTCTGTTCCCAGACCACTTCATTGAAATGAACTAGTCTGGGTGGCTAAAGTTTTCCTTTAATTAACTTTTACTAGTGGAAGATGATGTACAAAAAAAAAGCACTGTTCACCAAAGTTGAGCTTACCGTATTTTAGAACTGAACAATTTATCACTTCCAGTGGTTGCTGGTGAGCTTAAAGATGGTATGACATATTTTGACACTATATAAATATTTGTAGTTGCATTGCCACACAGAATACACTACCCTTTGTTAGTTTATGCAACTAAATTCATACAATGTACATTATGCTAAGACGATTCAATTCATTTTCTCTTAATTTTAGCAGCTGCTTCCATCTAGTGGTCTGTGCGATAAGAACCGTTTTAAATATACAATAATGCACTGTTATATGGGTTACACTTGTTTAATAGAGACTTGGATGAGACAAGTGACTGAAACAAAATACAGAATCTGGGCTATGTATAAATGATGATAGAGCTGCTTGCACTTATTTTGAATCAACCCTCTCTCAATACCCTCTAGGTGTGGAATTTCCCGCTGGGATATTTTTCGGTAGACTGCAGTATCTGAGGCTGACAATGCTTCCACACTACAATGTATGATGGCCTTTACTGCCATTTGAGAGAAGACATGCACATTACTAGGCATGGTAAAATGTTTCGGTTCGGCATTCCGAAATTCGGGACTTCGGCACTTCGGCAACTTCGGCACTTCGGAAATTTGGTAATTTCGGGACCTCGGCAATTCGGCTCTTCGGCACTTCGACACTACGACACTTCAGAATTTCTGAACTTCTCTTGCAGCCGCTTGGTAGTTAACTCCCTAATTCTCATGGTATTAGGGAGTTATCTACCAAAAGGCTGAAAGACCTAAATTGGTCTTTCAGCCAAATTTACTAATAAAAATTACTTAGTATTAGTAAATTGTGCCCCTACTTGCTATACCGCGAGTAAGGGCATGTCTATTAAACAGTGAGCACCCAGTGGCTGCTCACTGTTAAAAAAAATAAAATAAAAAAAAAGGATCCCCCCTCCCGAGCCTTTTAAACTAAAGGGGGGCCTATTGCCCCCCCCCCTGGCCCCCACCCTTGAGTGGTGGGTGGGGGGCCTAAAGTAAAATAATGGGGGGGACCTACTGTCCTCCCCCCGGCCCCCACCCCTGAGCGGCGGGCCTAAAGTAAAATAATGGGAGGGACCTATTGTCCTCCCCCCCGGCCCCCACCACTGAGCGGTGGTTGGGGGCCCTAAATTAGAATGAGGGGGGACCTAATGTCTTCCCCCCTGGCCCCCACCCCTGAGCGGTGGGTGGGGGCCCTAAAATACTAATAAAGTGGGTAGAAAACAGAGTCTGCCTGATATCTGTGAATGCACCTTCATACAGGAATATATGATGGCCCACCTTGCCGACAACATCCATCAAAGATACACATTAAATGCTGTGTGAGAGTACGACCATTTACACTGAGATCTGTGAGTTTTGTGCACAAATGAAAGGTCATTTATTGGTCCTTGCCCCCGCAGGCCAAATGTTGCCAGCTGACTTTTTTCTTTTACACCACATAGCAACTTTGCTAACAAATCTAAAAAAGCTGTCTTGTTATAAAGTTGCTGACAGTTTAAGTGTTGTTACAGATGACTATATGCCCAAAGATATCCATTTTATGAAGCTCTGAAACAGATCATGTGCTGATTTCGCTTCCAGAGGTATTAAGAACATGTCTTTATACTCAACACACAATCTGCAACTCTGTTCTGAGCTGCTGTTGGCCCTAGAGGTCTAAGTATTATGTTATACTCATATCTTTCATTAGATTTTTCTATATTGCATTCCACTTTCTGCATTGAGTCTGTGTTATCTTTCCCCCCGGTTAAGGTGTTTTTTTACCTTGCTTTCCTTTTACTGTTTTCCAAGTTCCATCCACTAACTCACCATACATCCCATCTGCTCCAATACTTACTAAACATTTTCACCTTGGTTTTGTTGAGTGAATGCCTTAGCTTTCTCCTTTTGAATTGCTTGCAGTATACAGAGAAGTAACATTATTATTTTTAGTGTTCTCTACTCTCCAAAATGGATATGGTTTCTATCCCGGACCACTATGGTGACAGATGCGTAGAAATCTGTCAAGGGGATCTTCCCGGTACTGACTCTGTCATAAGGATAATCTCAGTTTTTCTCTTAGAAAGTCAAGATGCTCATCTGCGTAAATTTTTGTGTTAAATTGGTATTTTTTTGTATGCATAACAATGTCACATATAGAACAGGTTTAAGGTAGAGATGCTTGTTTGCCTACGCAGAGGCATAGGTTGCTTAAGTGGAGTAAAACTTATACATCAAATTTCACATCGATTCCAGCCTGAATAACGATATGGCATTGGCAACATTTAAAGGTAAACATTGTGGGGGGGCGTGGCTACCGCCGGACAAGATGGACGCATAATCCTTCTCTCCGGCACAAGGGCTGTAATCTAATACCATCTTTTCACACAGAACCGCTTTCAACCCTTCTCACCCGACATGGCGCAACACAAAGCGAAGAAAAATGCGACCAGAGCAGACAAGTTCACTTTCTTTGCTCAAAAAACGCCACAAACTCCTACAGGCCTGTTCCCCCTTAGCCAAGATGGTGCAGATGGCGCCGAGGAGGAAGGTTCCTCACACGACCAGATACAGGCCGACGATACCCTGACAAAGAGACACCTGACCCGGGCGCTAGAAACCCTCTCCAACAAGCTCATTGAATCATGGCAACATTCTATTGATGCACTCCGCAGGGACATTCAAGATATTGGCGGGCGCACTTCGCACCTCGAATCCAAAATGGATGAAGTGGCGGTGGCTCATGATGATCTGGCAGCGCATGAGGAGTCCCTGGAAGATAGATTGGCACTTGCCGAATCTCGACTGGAGGATATAGAAGACAGGGCGCGGCTGAATAATTTGAGGATCCGAGGTGTTCCGGAGTCAGTTCAGCCGGCAGATCTACAAGCGTATGTGAGGGGCCATCTCGGCGCGTATGCGCCGGAGGTCCCTTCGGATATGCTGTTGCTCGACAGAGTTCACCGACTTCCCCGCCCGAGGCACTTGTCTGACTCCGCACCCAGGGATATCCTACTACGCGCCCACTATTTCCACATTAAGGAGCATATCCTTCGTGCTAGCAGGCGCTTACCCAACCCTCCAGAGGGCTACTCGGACATGCAGATCTATCCTGACATATCAGCTGCCACTCTCCGCAGGAGATAGGACTTTGCGAGGATCACCGCGGCTCTCCGCGACAACGGAATGAAGTATAGATGGGGATACCCCACGAAAATCCTGGTATCAAAAGAGGGGAAGCTGCAGCCAATCCTTTCTCCAGAAGAATGTGCAACACGAGTAAACCCTCGGTCCCAAGCAAGCTTAAACTGGACTGGCAGAAAACCCAGGGCGGTCATTAACCCTCTCTCTTAGCGGCATGTTGGGACATGCAAGTATAGACTGGCTTATGTATCCAATAGACTGGCACACTATGTATGCATAGACTAATATGGCAGCGGCACCTTGTTCCCTCCTTTGGGTCTTTCTCCTGGTTTCGGTTCGCGTCCGTGGGGGTCCCGGGGCTTTCCCCCTGTCGCCTCCCCGCGAGGGGGGGCACGGGGGGGACGCGCGGTGTGCCTTGCGGGGGCGGACGGAGGTCCCGGGTGCTGGCCGGTAGCTGTCCTTGGTGCTTGCCTGCTCCTTTCCCCGGGCGGGGGAGATTGCTGAGTGGGCTCCTGCACTGGCGGGGTGGCGGGTGGGGAGACTGGGGTCGCACCATTGTAGCCTTGCGCCAGCCCACTTGCTGCTTCCTATGGGTTTTTAGCTCCAATAGCAGGTTCAACCATGCTGTGTCAACTCAAAAAACAAAACAAAAAAAAACCCCTGTGCTCCCGGCACATGTCCTTCGGAAGTTTCAGGCCATGCTAAATTCGTTCATATGGGACAATAAAAAAACGAGAATAGCTGCCTCCGCTCTATATAAACCCTTCCAACGTGGAGGCCTTGGGATCCCACACTTAGATGCCTATTATTCTGCATCAATACTTAGCCTGCTCATTATGGCATTCCGGCAAGAGCCATTGCCTGAATGGATCGAGTTAGAGGCCGCACACACAGGGGGATATGACATAATGGTTCTCACTTGGGTTCCACGACAGCTTAGACCCTGATTCAAAGACATGCTGTCCACAACCAAGCTCACACTGTCCATTTGGGACAAACACAGAGCCAAATCATGGCCGTCACCTCATCCCTCACCGGCCCTCAAAATCCAGGCACTCACGCTACTAATCCCTCAATTTAAGGCACAAAAATGGGTTGCCCATGGAATCACATCCCTACACCACGTGATCGAAAATGATTCATTGGTCCCATTCGCAACTCTTCAGACGAGATACCAAATACCTTCAACTTCATGTATATGCAAATACAGTCCTGGTTCCGGAAACACCGCCATGCGGACAAGACACCCGAACACGCTAAGCACCTATCTCCTCTGGAACACTGGTGCACTCACACTAATCATGCCCCCAGGCCGCTTTCTTTTTTGTACCACACACTCATACACAAATCATGCACAGCTCACCCTCTTTTCATACAGTCCAGGGAGCGAGATTGCAATATGCGACTGGAGGACTCACAGTGGGCTAGCATATTTAGGGCAAACAGGAATCTAACGCTATGTTCCACACATATAAAAATGTCCAGAAAAATACTATATCAATGGCATATCACGCCAGTTAAATTGAAGCATATCAATCCTGGAGCCTCCGGAAACTGCTGGAGGTGCCAGGATTCTCTTGGCACTAGCTTCCACATTTGGTGGACCTGTTCGAAAATTAAGCCCTTCTGGCAGCAAATATCGCAACTTATATCGAACGTAGTTAAGCTATACCTACCTCCGAATCCTGTTCATTTTTTGCTCCAATTGTTGCCACATAAGATGTCCAAACCCTCTAAATATTTGGTATGCCATATACTTCTCGCAGCCCTGAGAACGATCGGAAAAAATTGGCAATCCCCCCACACACCACGTTTACAGCTGTGTATCAAACATATAGAAGTATCCAAACGATACGAAACCATGGCCAGGGCAGCTACTATTGCGGCTCAGAATTTCTGGTCTGAAGCATGGAACCTGTGGGACCAGTATATGGAAAGACAGCTCTGTCTGTCCCGGGACTGCAAAGAGGACTTCAAAGACGATTCTAACAAAGAAACAAATACTTTGTAAAACTTAAATGAAGCTTGCCTTGACACAATTCCCCTCCCTGTTTCTTACCTTCCCCCCCTTGCTCCCTCTCCCTCATTATAAATGGGCACGAGGTTTCCTACCACTTTGATGTCTTTTCTTAGTATGAGCCTCTGTACGTTCTTATTGTCTTAAGATGTATAACTTTCTGTTATCTGTAATATGGAGTGAAGCCTCTTGTTTCTTCAAAAATTGCAACAACAAAAAAAGGTAAACATTGTGCCCACGCAGGGGCGGTTATGCTCATTCAATAAGCGGTTAGGGTTGTGGGATTGATCCATCAACAATCTTGTAACTGTTGCCTGTGCAGAGGCTATCAAGTGTCATGTGATCCAAGTCGTCACTGAGACCAGTATTTTCAACTTTTTTTTATTTACTCTGGTTGGGGTGGGAGGGAGGGGGGTGGTATGACTATTGTGTCATGTGAAGTTCCTGGTCGCCTACTGTGATGTCATATGTGTAGCGATGGTTACACTTGTTGGTGGTGTCATAGATAAGAGCACGTGTCTGATCATTTTTCACTGCGATTGTTTTGTATGTGATTGGAGGGTGTTTAGATTTGTGTGGCCTACCATTGTCCACGACTCTGTGTCTGTTCTCAAGGGTGGTGCAGTAGACATTGCTTACCTAGATTCAGTGGCGGGTCTAGACTTTATGAGGCCTCAGGCGAAACTCAAACACAGGCCCCCACTAACACTCATAGTGAAAAAACATATAGGGGTTGCATCGTGTGTATAATGTGCTGTAGTTATATTGAATGGCAGGCTTGCAGCGCTGGATACAGAGAGCTAGTCTCTGTATTCACTGTTGGGGTGAGTGTGGCACGGTTGAAGGAGAAAGTGTGACAGGACGTGGGGAGGTGAGAATGACAGGATGAGGGAGGGTTATGTGACATGGTGAGTGTGGCATGGCTAGGCAAGATGAGTGACAGGATAGAAGAAGTTAAAGGGACACTATAGTTACCTGAACAACTTTAGCTTAATTAAGCCGTTTTGGTGTATAGAACATGCCCCTGCAGCCTCACTGCTCAATCCTATGCCATTTAGGAGTTAAATCCCTTTGTTTATGAACCCTAGTCACACCTCCCTGCATGTGACTTGCACAGCCTTCCATAAACACTTCCTGTAAAGAGAGCCCTATTTAGGCTTTCTTTATTGCAAGTTCTGTTTAATTAAGATTTTCTTATCCCCTGCTATGTTAATAGCTTGCTAGACTCTGTATGTGATTAAAGTTCAATTTAGGGATTGAGATACAATTATTTAAGGTAAATTACATCTGTTTGAAAGTGAAACCAGTTTTTTTTTTCATGCAGGCTCTGTCAATCATAGCCAGGGGAGGTGTGGCTAGGGCTGCATAAACAGAAACAAAGTGATTTAACTCCTAAATGACAGTGAATTGAGCAGTGAAATTGCAGGGCAATGATCTATACACTAAAACTGCTTTATTTAGCTAAAGTAATTTAGGTGACTATAGTGTTCCTTTAATGTGAAAGGGTGAAGGGGGAAGAGTTTGACAGGGTTTTGGGTTATTTTTTGCACGGCTGGAGGAGGGAGTGTGACAAGGCGAGGGAAAGTGACAGGGTGAGTGTGGCATGGTTGGGCAGAAGTGAAAAGGTTAATGTGAAAAAGGATAAGTGTGACAGAGTTAGGGGTGAGTGTGACAGTATGAGAGAAGATGAGTTTAATAGGATTAGGGGGATTAATGTCATAGTGTGAGTGTGGAAGAGCGAGGGCCAGTATGTGGTATGGATGGAGAGGGTGAGAGCGACAAGATTAGGAAAGGTTAAAGTGAGCGAGGCTGGGTGAAGGGGACATGACAGCATGTGGGGTGGCTGTATGTGTGTGGAATTGTGACGGTGGGTAGGTGACAATGTGGGAGGCAGTGTTGGAAAGGGTGACAGTGTGTGGGAGGGGTGACTGTATGTATTGGTGACATAGTGTTTGGGGCTGACAATATCGGGTGCAAGTGTGTGGAAGGGTAACAGGGTGAGGGAGAAGTGTGGAGGAATATGACAGTTTAGGGGGCAGGGTGTGAGTGGGTGACAGGAGGAAGATGACAGTGTGGGGTGGCAGTGTGGGGGGACAGGGTGTGTTACAGCAGTGTAGGGGGGCAGGGTGTGTGACCGTGTGGGTGGCAGAGTGTGGGGGGACAGGGTGTGTTACAGCAGTGTAGGGGGGCAGGGTGTGTGACCGTGTGGGTGGCAGAGTGTGGGGGAGCAGGGTGTGTGACAGTGTAGGGAGAAACTGCATAGGGACAGAGTGTGTGAGAGACAGTGTAGGGGGCAAAGTGTGTGGGAGACCGTGTAGGAGGGCATTGTTTGAGACAGAGTGTGTGGGAGTCAGAGTGGGGGGCAGGGTGTATGGGAGTCAGTGTGGAGGAGGCAGTGTGTATCACAGTGTGGGGTGCAGGGTGTGTGGGAGTCAGTGTGGGGGCAGTGTGTGTAACAGTGACGGAGTCAGTGGAGGAGGCAGAATGTGTGGGAGACAGTGTGGGGGGCAGGGTATGTGGTGGTCAGTGTGGGGTGGGGTATGTTGCAGGGGGCAGTGTGGGGTCAGGAACATGTGGTGAGTGCCCAGCAAGGGTCAGGGTATGTGGTGGTCAGTGTGGGGGGCAGTGTATGTGGTGGTCAGTGTGGTCATCAGTGTGGGGGGCAGTGTATATGGTGGTCAGTGTATGTGGGGGCAGGGCATGTGGGGGCAGGGTATGTGGTGGTCAGTGTGGGGGCAGTGTATGTGGCTGGCAGGGCAACGTGGGTGCAGTGGATGTGGTGGGCAGGGCAGTGTGGCGACAGTGCTTGTATGTGGGGTTGTGGGAGGCAGTGTTGGGGGCAGGAGGTATGTGGGGTGCAGTGTTAGAGGGGCTTGAAGGTATGTGGGTGGCAGGGCAGTGTTGGGGCAGGGTATGTGGGTGGCAGGGCAGTGTTGGGGCAGGGCAGTGTGGGTGGCAGGGCAGAGTGGGTGGCAGGGCAGTGTGGTCATCAGTGTGGGAGGCAGTGTATGTGGTGGTCAGGGTATGTGGTGGCTGGTGTATGTGGGGGGCAGGGCATGTGATTGTCAGTGTGGGGGCAGTGTATGTGGCTGGCAGGGCAACGTGGATGCAGTGTATGTGGT